GATATACAGCTTCCCGTCTGTGTATTTTAAAAAGTAAACTAACCGTTCCATAAAATAGGGCCAAAGTAGGTCAAAGGGGTAGGCGGTTATTATTACGCGGATCCTGGAATTCGTCGACGGCAATATGCCGAAAAGTTATGTACATATGAGCCAAAAGGACGCAATTTCGAGTTCGTATAAACAAGATATTCGACGTATGTTTAGTTCTTAGCGTTCAGGTTTTCCTGTAAATATTTGGATATCCCTTTGAAACGATTATTTACACTTCAGGCCTTAGAAACTAAGGCCGAACTTTTTCTACAATAAATTAAACAAACAGGACTTCCCTTCTTTAGATTCAGGGTACCTATTAAAATTACAATTAAAGAGATTTTTACACTTTTTTGTCGAGTCCACAATTACTTCCTAGTTACAGATCTCTATAAGAGGTTGAAGAACTCATAAAACAAACCGTATGTGTTTAATCAGATTATTACCCATAAATCCTTAGTTATGTAATTTAATATGTGATAATGCTTTATAAATATATTCTTCGAAATGTTCTTATCACCACCAGTACTGTACTGTACTGTACTGCTGCATCGTCAAAAGGAACTCGATTTTGCAAGCACAATCTCTTATGTCCTATCATTTCATTTCAAGAACTAAGCTATTATTTAGTCTTCACCAGAGAATGTTACAACAGATCCTTAAATAATTTTTCTATATCATCTAATTTCATGTCTCTCCCTCGCTATTTTAACTCGATTTAAAAAAAAATAATTTTTAATTTTAAAATAAAATAATTAAAAGCTACTTCTAATAAATTCAAAAAGTTGTCTTATCAAATCTAGGTACCTATGCAAAACATGTCTAACAACCTAACCTCAATAACCTCAAGACAAAATTCTTAACTGATGATAGATACAGATACATATGCCCTTATGCTTCTGCACCATAATTTACAACCTCTATGCGGAAATAATGATAACAGAGACCAAAGAACCTGTTACGATTCACCTGCTGCGCTATTTGGCGCAGTCCGCAATTACAAAAAGCAAAAACTTACCAAAGAAGTCTTCCCAGGTGTCATCGTTGTATTCCGAGTCAATCATATTTAAGGCACGACAGTCGCCGGGAATCACTGGAAATATTCACATCTCACCACAATTAACACTGTCAGCAGGGGGAGACGCGAAATAGACGCATTTTAACCACGCGAAAGGACCGCCGAAAACTCAACAAGAGACACTTGTTTTGTCGTATCTGCAACACCCAGCCTTCTTGACAGCCGAAACCCGAATGCGTGCATGAAATAAACGCCGCGCGCACCATGCCTAATCGCCCAATCCCAATTGTCAGTGCCTACTATTATTAATTTCCGCGGCACACTGTGTACATACAGTTCAAATTTTTACTGTAAGTTTGTGGTGATAGTTATTTTCTGGGGAAAATTTTAGTTGTATATTCACATCACCCGATTGCGCTCTGATTATTTTTTTATTTCTAGAAACATTTTCCTGTTTTGACTTTTACTGCCACTTAGAAGGAACTTGAGCTCATAAGAAAAAGATTGTAGTCAGATTTATGCATTACATGATTTTTCCATTGAGAATTTAACAATATATATTTGTTTTTCGTAACTAATGAGTTTGTCATAACTCTCGCTTCTCCTCACAGGTATCTTAAATTAAAACAAATTTTTAATTTACTTTTATTGAACTTGATGTGGAGATTGACACTAATTTTAATAATTTCATTATTTTCCGCGACGAAATAAATATTTGCCAGTCAGTTTGTAACAGTAGTTTCATTATGGTGTGGTGTAAACAAAATTAGCATTAATTTATTTAAAAAGTGAAAGATGCCTACACAAAAGTGTAAAAGTTGTAAAACATACATATATATTTTGTACTTACCTATTACGTTAACTGCTATGTTAATCAGACTGAAAACCTCGAAAAAAGATTTTCCAAATTGTTAAAACACAGAAACAGCACAACATTTTTGTAATTCATTAGTTGCAAATGCTTATAGAAGGAATATTTAACGAAAACATCTACTTTGTATAACGCTAAAATAATTTTTGATGCTTGCAACAAAACGAATATACCGCGTCAACGTTTTATCGAAAACTTGACTACGTGGTCTTGAATCATTGGAATTTTGAATTTGTTAAATTCGAGTTTGTTTAAAAATCTAACAGGCCTTGGAAATGCCTGAAGATGAAAAGTTTACCGAAAAAAATGTAGTAGGCTACCAAGTAGATCATTGTACCTGGTTCGAAAAGCAAATCTATATAGCAGACAAAATTCATAGAAACTGTCACAAGGAAATTTTGTAATCATGGGAGGCGCTGTATTTACAGAAATAAAAAAAAACACTGATAAGATCATTTTATTTACATTTTATACAATGGACTTTACATAATATATATAGGAGTTAGGTATAAATACTTACATATTGCACATATAAACACATAGTGTATATTCTCAAAAAAAAAATAAAATAAATTCGCAGATACATGATATATTTAGACACATACACAGTCACACACATATGACAGCTAAATATTTAAAAAAAAGGTCCCTTTAATATTAATATTTACGAATATGAACTAACGTACCTTAAATTTTTAAAATTAATTTACTTATCAGACAAATTGCCTTGACAAAAACTGTTAAAGATTTTCACCAGACTTTTGAAAAAAAATTATTGTATTAGCAGCTGTTAAATGTTAATATACCACATACATACTATTGAGAATCAAAATTTTTTGGCGCCTCTGCAATTTTTACATAAAAATACTGTCAATTTTTTTAACAATTTGCATCAAGTCGAAGGGTTTGAGAATATTGCCCACCTATTAGAACCGGACACACCTGAACTCTATATACTGTCCGTTAAACAACATGAAATATGATTAAACGATTATCACTCGGAGATTCCTTCCTCTCCGAAAATAAATGTATTCGGTTGTTCCCAACAAAAGGAATTGTGGGAGCTACACATAAAGTAATAATAAAAGTACATATTTGGTCCTTACATGCTAATCTCTCGCTACAAGAATCTCACACGAAATATGAATCACAGATTATTTCACGTTAAAATCTATAGGATTAAGGATTGTAAGTCAGAATCTCAACCTTAGGCCCAAATATATTTGTAGGACCTTCAAACATCGAATTCTTGCAAGTCGTCGTGGTCTTACCATCGACATGGACACAACTGATCAACGCTTCGCTAATTTTCATAGTTTTGACTACAAGCACATTAAAAAATGGATTTCGATACACAAATAATGAATATTGAAGTAAGAAATTTTGATTTTGTACAAATACGCTGTAATAAAACAAAGTACAGAACGATTTTCAGTTCACCAACTTGCTTACCACAAACCGCAATGCTCGTTTTGAGAATCGTGCGGATGTTGAGAATAACGGGGCAAATAGCATTGACGAAAGTCATCATCGGAAATTTTAACGTATCGTATAAAAAAAAGCATATCGCGCAGAATTTAGAATGAGAAGATAATTTCGCTCGAAAAAATAATACTATTCACTCTTCCCAGCGTTTTTAAAATTCAATTCTGACGTAAGTCTTTGCTTCTCACAAATTCAAAAACCACACAACCATTGGACTCGCCTACAACATCCATCTATTCAATCATGGTTACAGCTAACTTTTGAGATTATTATTTGCAGTACGTTTTTTTTTCTATTAAATAGTACCCAAAATAAATGTTTGGGGAATTTCATCGAAGAATTTGTAAAAAGTTAAATGGGGAAACTAGTTCAATAACGATGTATTATGGAATTATAAAACGCAGATAATTAATAAAAATAATGTGCATTCAATTCAAAATATTAATTTTGAAAACAAAATTTCACGTTCAAACACGAAATTTTATTACAGTAGTGGAGTTTGAATATGAAACTTCGATTTTGGATGCGAAGTTTTATGTTTAAATCTGAAATATTGATTTTTCATGCAAGATTTCGACTACGAACTTGAAATTTCATATTAGAACTGAAGTTTAAATATGAAATGTCGATTTTTTAACTCATTTTTCAAGTTTAAACTTGAAATTTTGAGTTGCGACTGGAAATTTTGAGTTTTAGCTTGAATTTTTTTAGAACTGTAATTTGAATATGAAATTTCAATTTGGAATCAAAATTTCAAGTTCGAACATGAAATTTCATGTTAGAACTATAGTTTGATTAAGAAATTTCAATTTTAAACATGAGATTTCAATTTTTATAGCAATATTTCAAGTTTGAACCTGAAATTTGGTAATAGAACTGGATTTTAAGCGTTTGGATGTGAAATTTGGTAAATAAAAAACTGAGTTACTATAAATTTCAAACTAAAATACTAATTTTATATGCTAACGTGAAATTTTGAGTTCAAATCCAAAATTTCAAGTTTGAACTCGCTAATTCATTTACAAAAAAAAAAATAAAGAAAGAACAAAAATTTCATTTATCATTAACATAACTTTAGAACAGTTTCTTCACTTATTAACAAATTTATTTATCAAATAAGCGAAAAATTAATAATTAAAATACACCTTGATTTGAGATTTGGATTATTTTAGGACTGCCACGTATTAGACGAACAGTACGCAAACAACCAAGGAATTATCGCAGCCAAATATCGACCGTCTTTATCCGTTTCGTGTATATTTTGTAGTGAAGACGAATATTAAAGCGGAAATATTTTGACAACAAAGCACGGGATTCATAACGTCTGCTGAGGGAATGAATTCTAGGCCTCCGTAAAAAACTAGTGACGAAAAAATTTGGAACAGAATTTACCAAATAAAAAATTTAATGCAAATCCTACGCCTGCTACGATTTTTTTAACTAGTTTTTTTTCGGGTGGGCGAAGTGTAAATTGGTTCAAACGTGCAATTTTCTCTTTTTTGAGATTTATTCAGAAAATAATAAACAAGCAAATGAAAAAATCACTGAAATATATTAGTAGTACATTTAAAAAATTTTTTATACAAAAATGTGAAGGAATTTTTATAAAAATTGGCAAGGAGGCAAAAATTGTTAATACAAATACAATTTTTTTAAAACTGACCCCTCAAAAATCGAATTTCGTGTGAAATTTTTTCGCCACGAAAGTTCTCAACACTCTCAGAAATCGTCCCCAGAGAAACGTCGAGCGTGTCACCTTTCATCATCAAAATATGACTGTATTAATTTTCACCAGCCGTCGTCGATATTTTTTTGCAACGACAACCATTGGCTGTTTGTCCCGGAGGTCTAACATGCACCACAGCCCTTTAATAAAGAGAACTGAGAGAATCAAACCTATATATCGGTTTCCGTACAGGAACTTTTCTTACTCAAACTGTCCGAGGGGCCGTCCTGAAGGCTCTGATACTTCATCTTACCGATCTCCACCGTCTTCAAGAACTCGCTCTCCCCGAACAGGAACCGCTTCACGTTCTTCTCCATTTCGGCGTACTTGACCTTGTCCAACTCCCCGACGCCCCTATTCTTCACCGAATCCGCCCTGGAGTTATCCGAACTGCTCACGTCGTTGTCCAGGTTGTTCTGGATCCACTCGGCCACCCTCTGCTGGTTCCGCATGGAAGCGTCGCTGGAGATAGAGTTGCTCTTGAAGTCGCCGCTCGAGATCGAGCCGAGGTCGTGGGTTTGCACCGCTTCGGTTTTAATCTTGTGGATTCGCTTCGTGTAGACGACGGGCGTCACGGCACTCGATGCCGGGTCGACGCCCGAGGCTTTCGTTTGCGGCTTTCCCTCGAATTTCATCTTGTGGCTTTGCGTGTATAAGACGGGTGCGATGTTATTGTGAGCGTTGTCGAGCAAAATGTTTCTCGTGGCCGACTGTAAAGGCGCTGAGCAATTCTTTGGGTCCTTGTCTGTATGCTCCGGATCCGCTTTCTCTTGGGGTGTCTTGGGTGGCGATTCCTGTAGCTGCTGGTCAGTCTCGGGTTCCGTCTCACTTCCGTCTTGATATACTCTAAGCTCGTTACTTATCACATGATTGTTCGGGTTAATTACGCTATTCTTCGGAGATACGTTTGAATTCGTACTAGATTTAGTATCGTTTAAGAAATTATTCGGTTGAACCTTTACTATATTGTTGACGCCTGGAGTGAGATCGACTGTTTCAAGGGAAGTCGGCACGTTTTTGTTGTTTTTAAAATCGCTGCTCCTAACTATCTTCATGCCTGGAAACGCAGAATTTTTTGTATTGGAACCCGTTTCACGTTTACTCGTTTTGAAGCAATAAATTGGCCAAGTTTCACGATATCTACCTATCTTTCTAATGCGCACTGACCGCATAAATGCATATGTCAATGTATTTTTTAATTTTTTTTTCACTATTGTAGATGTATTTATTTAAATGAATTCAAAAATTAAAAAAATTAAGTGAACTAACATCAACAAGGGCTTGTGATTCCTCATAAATAAAAGTTTTTTAAAAATCTCAAGTTCAAACATGAAATTTCTCATGATAGAAAGAAGTTTGATTGTGAAATTTTGATTTTGAATCCTAAATTTGGAATTTTAATTTGAAATTTCAAATTTTAATACGAAATTTCAACTGAAAACTAAAAATTTCATGATAGAAGTGAAGTTTAATATGAAATTTCGATTCTAAATGCAAAGTTTTATGTTTAAATGTGAAATTTTCATTTTGAATCCTAAATTTGGAATTTCAATCTGAAATTTCAAATTTTAATGCGAAATTTCAAATGAAAACTAAAAATTTCATGATAGAAGTGAAGTTTGAATATGAAATTTCGATTCTAAATGCGAAGTTTTATGTTTAAATGTGAAATTTTGATTCTGAATCCTAAATTTGGAATTTTAACCTGAAATTTTAAATTTTAATGCAAAATTTCAACTGAAAACTAGAAATTTTATCTTAGAACTGGACTTTGATTAAGAAATTTCGATTTTAAATGTGAGATTTCAATTTTTATTGATATATTTCGAGTTTGAACATCAATTTATTAGGATTGTTTCTTCTGGTGCAACAAATATAACGAATTGCTTCAATATCTTGTCCAAGTTTTCCAGAAATTTATTGCGCTAAAAATTGATAAATGTAAAACGGGTTTTAATGATGAAATTGTGATTAATTATGTATCGAAAACATTACACGATCCTTCCGCTTATAACTTTTGAACGAACAAACAAATCGAAACTAACCCTCAAAATCAACCCTCTGAACTATAACGGTTTATAACTCAACAATTGACGTCTTAAAAAAGTGAATGACTGACGTTTACAACATCAAAACACATAAACAATTTAACTTACTAACCAACTGAAGTAAACTGAACGTTCTCGTTACACCTAAGACACAACATTTCGCAGTAATCCCCCGTCTGACTCCCGATACTGTGATGCGTATCCTCGTAGATTATCCTCAAATTCTTCGAGCAGGTGCAGGTATCACAATGTTTGGCTAGCGCCTTCTCCTTCTGGCGCTCCTCCAACACCTTCGCCATTATAGCGGCGGATACTATGTCCACCGACGGAGCCTCGACGTCCGGCTCTATTTTCTTCTCCGGCCTGGGAGACTTCGGCACTGAATAAACCATGGCGGTGGGAGGGAATGTGGGAATTGGCACTTTAATACTTTTCGCTTCCGAGACGGCTTTGCGTTCTTCCGGTTTCTTTTTGTGGGTCATGTAATTGGATACCTGAGACTGCACCTCCGGCGGCAACTAAAACATGGTCTTATAATAAACCGTGTGGAGCTAAGCGTCGTACATACCGAATCGAACTTGTGGGCCACAAAGTTGCTCTGTTTGCATTGCAGGAATTGAATCGCCAAAGATACGTCGTTTTTGTACCTTTCCTAAAAAAAACGGTTCAAATAAATTTGTAATAAATCCAATTTGTATCGATCCAAGACAATTCAAATATACTCACGTTATCATCCGTAAGCTTTTTGATGGCGTAATTTGCCTCTGCTAGTTTGTGTGACAGTGTAGCGACGTCTTTTGTCAAAGCATTTTTTTCCGTCTCACAAGCATCTACCAATTTCAACAACTTATCTTCTAGCCCTTGGTTTACCCTTTGAACTCTTCTATGAGCTTCATATAACCTATGAAAATTAGTAATGAAATATTCAGAACATCGACATTCAGATGATTATCAAAAATACAAAGCTGTCAAAAACTTCAATAAACATAAATGTTTGCATATGTTACATTTGTTCTCATGACAATATAATATAAGAATATTCAGGCGTTTACACCCACCTTTTATATTTATCCTGCCATGTCAACAATTCCTCTCTCACGGCTACCAATTCGCCACTAGGGAACCTGTTAGCTTCATTCAAAAAATTAGTTTCCATCGTAACAATATGCGTTTCCTTTTCTACAAGTCGTTGCTTTAAATTCTCTATTTCTACATGCAGCTGAACATCGTGATCAGTGGATATGCAACGTTTACATGTACAACCACATTCCTGAAAATGTCCGTCTTATTTTAACTTTCCCTCTTATTTTCACAGGATTATATAAGATTTGATCGCCTTACCTTACACTTATTCTTGTTAGCCATATTAAATATTTATGTACAAAAAAAATACTGACTTGGGAAGCTCAATATAAGCATATTTTTATGATTCACTTAATAGGGTACAATACCACTTTGATAAATGAGTAAATACCACAGTCTCTGCGCCGTATGGAAATTAATTTACTACTTATGGATTAAAAACGGATAAATAAATCTGATAATTTGCAATTATATCTTTATCATACGTGTTCCTTATGTAAAAATAATGTTTGACACTTCTCACTTTTGACAGGTATTGAAGATGACAACACAACATGATAAAAACCTGAAAAACATGCTGGCAACTGTAAAAGTTAAAAAATTGTGTTCGTTGAATTTGCAGTATTTGCACACTAGGTTAGGTTCGGTGGAGAAAATTGCACCGGTCGTAATATCAATACCGTAGACAAAGATTAAAACGAACTGGTACAGAAAGGGTAAATAATGGAAATGAAAGAAAAATCTGAAATCTGTGCCTTGTTACAAAAACGTGAAGCTTGAAAAATGAGATGTTAATATCAAATTCAAATAAATTACTAAAAATTAATTTTGCAAAAAATTTAAAAATGTAAAATTTAAAGCTTGTATTGGTAAATAATAAACCCAAATACATTTAGGTATATCATTTTAGGGAGAGTAAGAACATGTCAATATAAAAATTTTATTAGGTACATAAAATAATATAGTACATCATCTTTAAAATCATGGTACAATATTAACAGAAAAAAAAGTTACTCCAAAAAGCATTAAATTCTGTATAGACGAATACATCTAATGCGTGTACTGACAAATAAATAAATAATTAGTTATTCTATTTCTAATCTGTAGTTATCAATGTCTTCGCACAGAGAATTAAACTTTGTCGCCCACTGCTCCAGCTCCGCTTCTTCCTTTCTCGTCATTTCCCTTTTATGTTTATCTTGAGTCGATACCTCATTGTTATCATATAATTTCTTCTTTTTGCGATTTTTCGATATATATATTTTGGTGTTTTCATCGAAATTAATAACTGGTTCTTCGTCTTCGAACAACTTCACACCAAAATTTTTATTTACAGGCTCTTTTAATAAATTCTGTGATGTATAGAAATTTCTACCTAATTTCTCAGTATTTGATATTGGGATTTCAGTGACAGCCGGAATTTCAACTGTATTGTTTCTTTGAACGTTTATATCATTAGGGATATTATTTGCGTTTAGTGTTTTAGGTCCAAGGATATTACGATTCTGTTTATTTTCTTGTAACGATTTTGGCCGCTGAACAATAGAATTTTCACTGTCAAAGAAACTTAGATGAGGAATGTTTTCTTTGTTCGCTGTATCGTGAAACAATCCAGAATCTTTAATCGGACTAGATTTATTCACACACTTTTTGGGTCTTTTGGGTATTTGGGCAAAATGCTCCTCGATCTTTTCCAACTGTGCGTAATCTATTATCATATCCTGCTGAAGACACGGTAAAGCCGTTTTCTTTATACTTAAGTAGTGGGGATTACGCTTCAAGTGCTCGTTAAATCTCCAAGGGGGACTGCATACCCTATTCAGCAAAACTGTGCTATTAGCATTCGGTTGTAAGTGCTCGTCTAAAAACCAATCGTCAGATTGATCAAGGGTAATATCGCTAAGAACTTGTATATTTTTATTAGTTTTTTTCGGACTGTGAAGCAAACAAACTTCTTTGGAATTATTATTCTGCGCATTGTGCTCATAAAATGCTTCATTTTCTTTGTTTCCTCCCAAAGCGTTTTCACCTATATCATCATCATTATAGTGACCTACATCGTCAACATATTCTGGTGAACCGTTCTGTTGAATTGGACAATGCATATGGTGTTCATTTTGAATCGGAGGAGGGTTTTTATTTAATTTACCGTTATTAACCCTTTTCATTACCTTCTGAAGAATTTCTTGCACTGCTGCATCGTAAGTATTACATATTTTAGATTTGGTAGTTTTGTATTTTTTCGTGTTCTTTTTTGACGCTTGCTTTGAGGACTTTACTTTCTTCTTTTTATTACGTTTAGCCTTGTCTTCATCTCTGTTCTCAGAATCAGCTTCATCAAATTCATACAAATCGTCATTGTCCTTGAGTTTATCGTCCGTTACATGTTCGTAAACCAAATGTTTCCCACGGTTACCTTCAACTACACTATTTACATTTTTATTCACTGCAACTAATTCGTTTTTATGCACTCCATCTTGTACTTGGTTTAGTGTATTTAAAGGAAGCTTTTCCAATATAATTTTACACTTTTTATTCACATTCTGTCTCTTCTTTTTACCATAACTGGCATTTTGTTTTTTATTGTTCGACTGTATTAATTCCATGCAATCATTTTTATGTTGCAACTGTTCTTGGTGTTTATACCTCTGGACTACTAGAGGTTTTTTAGTTAATATCACAGCCAACTCTTTTATAATAGGGTTTTGTTTCGTTTCTTCCATTATACGTCACAAATTATTCTCAAAATTATTAACTTTTTTTTCTTTACATTCCATAATTATTTGGAAATGCATTTATAAAAAAAATTATTACTACAACCCGCGAATTTCTGATAGCACAACATAAACAACTTAATTTTATTTGATATTTGACAGATATATTGAAAAGACCGAAATGACCACACTCCACAGAAATTATTGCGCTTGCGTTCTACGGAGCACGACGGTGGTAAACTGTGGTGGTAAACGATTAGTCAATTTTATCCCCATATCTATTTTTAATATCTAGTGAATTTGCCACTAGATGGCAACAAAAGCAATGGGGTAATTCTCTGGTAATTTAATTACATTGAATACAAAAAAAAGTGAGGAATGTAATGAATTATAATTAAAATCAAGTAGCTAAATACAATGTATTTATTACCTAATAGAGGTTTATGAAATTCATTTGACCTGCTCAGATTACTGTTTTTGTCCTTATTATTCTTATGTATTAGAGAGATGCTTTGTTTAGATCTTTACAAGCTAATTTTTGTAAACCTATTGTACCTACTTATTAGGCCGTTGTACATACAAAAGCGAAAACATAGTATCTTTATTTAACTTTTCAGTTATCAAGGTCTACATTTTGTCATCGATTTACCAGCATTGCTGGCTGCCAAGTCACTCACTGCTCACTGATTTTTGTAGCGAACTTTTTGTATACCTAGCTTGTATCCGGTACGTATCGACAGATCCAACTCACGTTTACGTATCGCATACAAAATTAGTTACACTTTTAATTAAAATTGCATATTTTAAATATCTAGCTGGTACCCGTCAAGGTTAATTTTTTCTATATTGCAAAAGAATAACCTCGACGGAATATAACAAACGCAATGAGTCACGGTATTTACCTACATTGCCCCAATTGTTTCAGAACGATTTCATGACGAGTGGTATTCTTTTACAAAATTTGGCACTGAGTTTTAATTAATTTCCGGTGAATTTTTGCTCTTATTAAATACCTATTGTACTTGCACCATAGGCGTCGATTTGCGAGGTTTTGGATGTCATATAACTCTCAGAGAAAGTATATTAGTCACAAAGCAAATCTGCCTACTAACAAATTGCTGTCAATTTAAAAAAAATTCATTCGTTTCACCCAAAGGGGTTTAAATTTCTCGTTTATTTTTTAAATACGATTCTTAATCAATTATTTAAAAACTTTCTATCTGTTCAACAGAAAAATGATACAAACGAATATGGTATCCAGTGTTTTTTATAGAAATGTATTCCCTTCCATTTTCTTAATGAACCCAGGAATAATGAATTAGTAGCGACGAAGTTTATCAACGTTAAAAGGTCTTATTTATCTACCAAATTGCTACACTTTGCTCCTATTTTTTGCCCTTAAGGCATTTCAATTAGGGACAATCTCAAGTTTAGCGGGTTTCTCGATTCTGTTTTTTGCGACTTCACTTGATTGTCCGAATCCTGGTACAGCTGCGGAACAATAAAGTGTTGTAATACTCCAGTCGAATTATAGTTTAAACGCGGAAAAATAATAGTAGACATGCACTCTATGACGGGGAAGAGTATGTAGAATAATAATATCAAAAAAGTTTGAACGACCATATCAGTCAATTTTCACCCAAAAATACTTTTAAACCTCTTTTTTTGAAGGAAATTTTATCTACTTTTTTATGAAGCAATGTCTATACCTATCTTTACTCAAAAAACACTAGAGGCAAAAGAATAAAAAAAAATCAAAAAATCGAATATTTTGCTTTTTTTCAAATTGTTCATTAATGATTTATTGCCTAAAATTCTTTTAAATTTTTTAAATAAGCCAATTCATAATGAAATAAAAAATACTATTTCAATAATAAATGTTACGTTCATCCAACTATTTTTATTTTATAAACTTGTGTATATTTAGGTCAATTGTTTTGACTTGCTTTAATTGTGTACGTCGTATTTGAATTTACTTTTTCTAGTGATTGCAAATTTCGCAGTACAGGAAATTGTTGTAAAGTTGCATTTAAAAACAAAATATTTCGTAGCTATTTGGATAAAAATTGTAACTATTAACTGTTAATATGTTAATTTTAACTAATGTGGGTGCGATGGAAGCAAAAAATCGCGAAATCTAATCCAAAACAGCTTTTTACTCAGGGCTGAAAATATGTGAAGCCGATACTGTTCACGTCACATTGTGTTATCTAAATCCCTAACAAAAAATCCGTTCGGTTACTTATAAGAAAAACGGTGCCTTCGAATATGTTAAATTTAGATAATTTTACCGTTGAATTTACAATTACTCAACTTCAGTTTTAATAAAATCAGTTTTTAGTTAGTTAGCTTTTAGTGAAATGTTGTTTTTGTAACAATTCCGACTGTATCATAAAAGTTAATTAATATTTGAACTTGAAAAATCGGTATGTCGGTTCGAATTTTTTTAATGTTTCTCTGGGTGCGACTACTTTATTGCATTTTTCTTGTGGTTAACTACAATTACATATACCTATTCGTATAATGGTTCTAATGTCTTCAATAATTAGAGGACGCGGTGAGTAACAGTAATAAAATACCAAATGGCTGAACGTTTTTTGTATGATTTGTTTAGCCACAAGCAAGCCTGTAAAATATAGTGTATAGAATGTAACATAAGAAATTAATGTACATATACAGGGTGCTCCAATATTTCGTATACGTGTTGCTTCAAGATGAAGGGTTTGTTATTTTTTTAGATCATTACGAATGATTTAGTTGATAAGTCAAACAACAACAAACTTTCAGACTGTTCTCTTTCTTATAAGAACTGTTGAAGTCATGAAATTATCAATTTTAACACCGTGGAAATGGAATTTAATTAATTATTAACTAGCAGTAGTAAATATAATTGCCAGTGGGTAGTCTCTAAGAAAAAATAAATTAGAGACGTACCTACACAGTTGTGTTCTAAGTGTAAAATTATTATCAAGTAATTCTAAACAAACATTTCCGAGTCAGTGCACAATAATTATAAATGCGAAATATTGATTATTTTATTCCAGTAGCGTAACGTGAAAAAGGAAACTAATAAAATGTGAGTCTGAAATAATTTGGTTCCGGTCCTGTCCCGACCAAGTCTGCCGTTTGCTTGTGAGGCAGTTAAATTTTAAAAGATGCGTTGGTGTTAAACAACTTTCTTTCAAATGAATATTATATTTCAAGTTTCTCAGACACTTCAACTGTCAGTTTAACAAAATTATTCACAAAAATTGCTTTCATAAATTAATCATATTTTAGCGGTTGTTGCGGCTGTAACAAGATATTATGTATTTCATAGGTCCCACTGGGATTAATAATAATTAATAAGTATCATGTAAATTTTGTGCATATAGCGATAAATATTCACAATTAAGTGATTTTCTAAGTTTGTGCAAGAAATGCCAATCTTCGTATTCCTTGTAAGTTGTATGAACTGATATTTTCCCTAACCACGCGTGTGTCACGGCTAACGTCACTAGATTAAAAAATACACAAGTCACAAGAAGTAAAGGATAAAAATATTTTTAGGTTATCTTCAAAAGGCTATAACTTTACGAAAAATGGTTGTAGGACAACAAATAAAGAAGCTAATTGAAGCTTGATGTTTCTAGTTTCTGGATCTGAAAGTCAAAAATTTTTATCGTAGACCACCTTTCAAGAAAACATAAGAAATCCTGCGGAAAAATTTTTTCTTCGCTTTCAAAAGGTCCACAAACTTTTCCAATAATTTTTTTCTTTATCCCCCCACCACGCGAGGCAAGATAAGAGAGAGGATGGGAAAAATATAAATTATATAGGTAGAAATAAGTACCTACAGTGAATTCATTTTTTTTAAAAATATTTTTAATAAAATCTTTTTAAAACAAGAAAAACAAAAAATATAAATAACTAAAAAAATTAAAAAATTCAACGAAAATTTGATGGATTCCGATATATAAAAATTTATTTTTTTTTAGTTTAAAATTTCAGAGCTAAATTTTAAAATATGGAAATGTATTTTTTTTATATTTTTAAATTCTTTTGTCAATAAATATTTATACTAATTTAATGCAACTGTTTTTTTTTTAAATAAAATGTATTAATTTTCTAAATTACAGTTAAAGTAAATAAAATATTTTATTAGAAATTTCTAATCTAATATTTTCTTATAATTAGCTTAAGAAAATGTTTGTACTTTTGTACTTACTTATCTTAAAAACGAAAAAATCTTTTTTCTACAAAACTGTTAAAAGTGGGCTTTTAACACTAGTGTTAAAAGTGATTTTATTTTGTTCGTGAAGTTAAAAAACTCGCTACGCTCGTTTTTTAATCATCTTCACTCACAAAATAAAATCTTACTTTTAACACGTATATCATAAATAGCTATTTTCGTTTTTGATAGATATATGTACTTAGTAGTTTAAAAAAGTTTTCTTTTAAATAACTAATACATTTGTTTGTCAATTGACATTGGGCTAGGCTCAAAATTTTTATTATAAAAAGTTCTACAAGTTTTGTATAAGTAAATCATTTTTTTTTCTAAAATGTTTGTTTTTTTTTTTAATGAAAATAAACTCTTTTTTTTTGTTAACTTTGGACTCCATTTTGAAAATGAAGCCCTAACATTCAGCTGGAGTAGTTCATTTAATTCTACGGAATTTTTCCTAAATTTTACGTGTTTTTGTTTTCTGAACTAAATTTTAGCAAAAAAAAACAAGCATTTTCGACAATTTGACTGGCCTATAATCACAATCATAATAATCTCGATTGTTTTGTTATATGAAACCATAAATTACAATAAATGATTAATGATTACAGTAATTTTTTCTGAAAAATTCAATTAATTTACCTTTTAAGCGTAGAAAAATCCCAGTGATGTAACTGAAAAAGTGAAAGGAAAATTACAATAACGACGATGAATATTCAGATATTTTTGTTTAACTTTTATTACCTACTGAAACTGAAAATCCAAACCGAAAGTGGAAAATTAAGTTTTTGTAATCACTAATCAGTATTCGGTTGTTAGGATTTTTGAAAGGTTCATTAATTTGTTACTTTTGAAAAAAAACTAAATATTTAAAATTTTTTGGTCGGGTGTTGTCCAATGTTGCCTAACATCGTAAACTAGCTTCTTACACAATATTATTGTTTTATT